CCCGAAACGTCAGCCTTCCTGCTCCTCTGATGCTGTGTTCATCCAGCTCTACACCTTGTTATCTCAGATTCTCCAGCATCTGCAGTTCCTGCTATCTCTAACTCTAACCCCCTGACCGATTGGCACTCACGCCTGGCTGTTCGACCAAGATACGATGCGCGTTCCTTGGCTTCTGGTGCCAATTGTGCCCCCACCTAGAAGTGGGCTCCATACACCGCCCACCCCGTGCCCACCAGACCTCCTTTGTTTTATACTTTCTCAAACGTGGGACCTTTCTGGTGAACCTCCACTCCTCGTCTGGTTACTTGGCAGGCGGTAATATGCCTACTGTCCTTTGATGGTGGAAGGTGAGGTGAAAAACATTGAAAGACAGTAGGAAACAGAGGATGCAATCCTAAAAAAAGGGGTGCAGGAGCAGAGGGATCTGGGTGTATGTGTGCACAGATCAGAGGGACAGAGCAGCTGTTCAAATATACATACTGCCCTTGACTTTAATTAATAGGAGCATAGGGCCTAAGAGCAGAGAGGTGATGGTGAACTTGTACAAGACACGTGTTAGACCTCAGCTGGAGGGTTGTGTACCGCTCAGGGCGCCATGTTATATAGGGAAGATGTGATCACATCAGAGAGGGAGAGAGTGCAGAAGTGATTTACAAGAACTGTCCCAGGGATGAGAAACTTCAGCGATGAGGATAGATTGAAGAAGTTGGGAACAGGAACAGGAATTGCTGGAAAAGCTCAGCAGGATCTGTGGAGAGAAATCACAGTTAACCCTTGGGGTCCGGTGACCCTTCCTCAGAACTGCACCTGAAAACGTTAACTCCCCGAATTCTCTCCACAGATGCTGCCACACCCTGCTGTGCTTTTTCCAGCAATTCCTGTTTTTGTTTGTAATTCCCAGCATCTGCAGTTCTTTCGGATTTTTTTTATCTTCGAAGAAGTTAGAGACTGTTCTCCTTGGAGAGAACAGGGCTCAGAGGGAGATGTGATGGAGGCTTCCAAATACGTGGGTGGGTGTTGGATATAGGTAGGGAGAAGCTGTTCCCATGCCTAAACGGAACAAGAAGGAGAGGGGAAAGTGACGTGTGAATGAAGCGAGGATGATGTGGGAGGAGATTTTGTCACCCGGTGAGTGGTTAGGGTCTGGAATGCACTGCCTTGTGATGGGGGCAGGTTCAATTGAGGCATTGAAGAGAGGCTACCGGAAGGTTATTGGGATAGAAATGGTGTGCAGGGATGCAGGGGAAATGGAAATTAGTGCAGGGAAACACAGCCAGCGCAGTCGCGATGGGCTGTATGGCCTCATGGTGTGCCATTGCTGACATTCTGATCCGTTGATATCTAGATCATGGCAACTCAAGACCCGGCGCCCCCACCGGAGGGTGCAGCGGGGGGCACCGAGACATCTGCCACCCACCACCGACAACTGGACGCCGCTGAGCTCCAGTCCTTGATGCCTTGGCTCAACATCAACATGGCCGAACTCGTGGCGCAGATGGAGAAGGATGAAGCTGCCATTTGCCGGCAGAGGAAGAGGGGCTACAACCCTCGGATGAGGAGTGAACTGAAGAGGCTGAAGAGCTTCGAGGATATCGACCCCTTCATCAGCTGGAGTCCCGAGGAGATGGCGGGCGTGGGATTTTACTACACGGGACTGCAGACCAGTGTGCAGTGCTTCTGCTGCGGGGGCATCTTCTGCAACACGGGCATCACCAAGACGCCCCGATTGGAACATCAGCGGTTCGAGCCCGACTGCGGCTTCCTCAAGATGCTGGACGTCGGCGACATTCCCAAGTACGCCGTGCGGGTCCAACCGCCCGGGAAGGTGCCACTGGGCCGACGACAGCAGCTGATGGAGGAGGGGTGCCGGCTGGAGAGCTTCAAGGGCTGGCCTTTCTACGCGCAAACGGAGCCCGGACTGTTGGCAGGAGCTGGGTTTTTCTACACAGGTAACCACCCGCCGGGAAAATCTGCGGAATCCGAGTCGGAACATGTGGCATCGGCCATTTGAATCACTTAACCCTCTCTGGGTAGAAACATAGAAAATAACTGCAGGAGTAGGCCATTCGGCCCTTCGAGCCTTTACCACCATTCAGTATGATCGCGACTGATCATGCAATCTCAGGATCCCATTCCCACTTTTTCTCCATACCCCTTAATCCCTTTAGCCCCAAGGTCCACATCCAGCTTCCTCTTGAATGTGTCTGGCCCCAACAGCTTCCTGTGGGAGAGAATTACACAGGTTCACAACTCTCTGAGTGAGGAAATTCTTCCTCCTCTCAGTCCTGAACAGCTTACCCCTTATTCTTAGACTGTGACTCCTACTTCTGGACTTCCCCAACATTGGGAACATGCTTCCTGCATCTCGCCTGTCCAGTCCCATCTGGATTTTGTATGTTTCTATGAGACACCCCTCATTCTTCTAAATTCCAGTGAGTACAAGCCCAGTTGATCCAGTCTTTCTTCATATGTCAGTGCTGCCATCCCAGGAATCAGTCTGATAAACTTTCCTTCAACTCCTTCAATAGCAAGAATATCCTTCCTCAGACTAGGAGACCAAAACTGCACACAATTGTATGTGGGCATCACTGGCTGGGTCAACATTAAAAATTGGGGGGTGGGGGGAGAGGAGCCCAGTTAAGTGACTCCATTTTGAAATTTCAGAGAGCAGCTAAGAGTGAACCAATTGCCGTGGCTCTGAGGGTCACATGTCGGCCCAGACCGTGTAAGGAATAGCAGATTTCTCTCCCCAAAGGGCTTTGGTGAACCAGGTGGGGTTTTTAATGACAGTCCAATTCTCACCATTGTTGCTAGCCAATGTTTCAGTTCCAGATATGTTTCATTGAATTCAAATATCAGTGGAGGGATTCGCACCCAAATCATTGACTTCCTAGCCCTGGATTACGGCATACTCACATGATCACTATGTGCCTCACATGATCATATGATCACCAAATGACTGTTCTCTAACCAAATACTGCTGACAAAGCTGTTTGTCTTGCACCAATGAAGACAGTTGGCAAGAGCACCAATTCAAGTGGGAAGACAGCACTCACAAGAGGAGAGTGCTGACTGGTTGGGCATTGGGTCTCTGATTGGCTGAGGTGTTGCCATGGAGAATGATGTCCGACAGTTAAACGAAAGCAAAGAATTGTGGATGTTGGAGAAACAGAAAGTGCTGGAGAAACTCAGTGGGTCGAGCAGGCCTTTTCCGTTTTTACACTGACATTTAACTACCAGCTTTTCAGAAAAAAATTCAATCGGACAAGCTGACTTTCATTGGTCAGGGCATTCCTGGGAATTGAGCCAGGGAGATTTGCAATAGTCAGGGTCATGGTGTGACACACTTGCAATACCTCCACCAATTAGAGTCCATTTCCCAACCCATTAGCACTCTCCTCTCAAGCAGTTTAAATGTTGGATTTCCTCTTGAATTTCTATTCTTGCAAATTGTCCTGACGGGCACACACTGAAAACGTTAGAGTCGTACAGCACAGAAACAGGCCCTTCAGCCCAACTCGTCCATGCTGACCAGGTTTCCTAAATTGAACTAGTCCCACCTCCATGCATATGGCCCATATTCCTCGAAACCCCTTTCCAACCCATGTACCTGTCCCCAAAAGAAGACGCACTCTGCACATACAGTCGTAGAGTCATGGAGCTGTACAACATAGAAACAGACCCTTTGGTCCAACTCGTCCATGCCGACCGGATATCCTAAACTAATCTAGTCGCATTTGCCAGCATTTGGTCTCTATCCCTCTAGACCCTTCCTCTTCATGCACCCATCCAAATTCCTTTTAAATGTTGTAATTGTACCAGCCTCCACCACTTCCTCTAACACCACCCTCTGCGTGAAAGATTTACCCCTTAGGTCCCTTTTAAATCTTTCCCCTCTCACCTTAAATCTATGCCCTCCAGTCTTGGACTCCACTATCCTGAGGGAAAGTACCTTGGCTATTCACCTTATCCATGCCACTCATGATTTTGTAAATCTCTATAAGGTCACCCCTCAGCCTCTGACACTCCAGGGAAAATATTTCCAGTTTTTCGCTATAGCTCAAACCCTTCAATCCTAGAAACATCCTTGTACATCTATTCTGCAGCCTTTCCAGTTTAACAACATTCTTCCATAACTATATTTCCTATAATTACATAGAACATAGAACAGTACAGCACATTACAGGCCCTTTGGCCCATGATATTGTGCCGAACTTTTACCTTAAACCTAAGGTCTATCTAACCTCCACCCCTACCTTATACTATCATCCATATGCCTATCTAATTGCCGCTTAAATGCCCCTAATGAGGCCAACTCCACTATCCTCTCCGGCAGTGCATTCCACGCCCCTACCACTCTCTGAGTAAAGAACCTACCTCTGACGTCTCCCCTATATCTACCTCCACTCACTTTAAAACTATGCCCCCTCGTAATATCTACCTCCACCCTAGGAAAAAGTCTCTGGCTGTCCACTCTATCTATACCTCTGATCATTTTGTACACCTCTATCAAGTCACCTCTCATCCTTCGTCGTTCTAAAGAGAAAAGACCTAGCTCTCTCAACTTTTCCTTGTAAGACCTTCCCTGCATTCCAGGCAACATCCTGGTAAATCTCCTCTGCACCTTTTCCAACGCTTCCACATCTTTCCTGGGAACAAGTGATGTTTCCGATCCTATAGCACTAAAGGTTACCCTCCAGTGGGGAATAATCATCCACCTACAGAGAGTGGTTTTGAGGATGTGTTAACAGCCATGTTATCATTGTATTCAGTGATTATCAGACAGTGAATTTTGGTTTTCCCTGTGTCTCTGGCAAGGGTGGGAATTGCCTTTTATCACTTTAACAGATCCCAGCTTCCTTTTAGGATCATAGAATCCCTACAGTCTGGAAGCAGGCCATTCAACCCCTCAAGTCCACACTGACCCTCTGAAGAGCATCTCACCAGACCCACCCTATCTCTGTAACCCTGCATTTCCCATGGCTAACCCACTTAGCTTACACATCCCTGCACACTATGGGACAACTTAGTATGGCCAATCCATCTAATCTGTACATCTTTGGACTGTGGGAGGACATTGAAGCACCCAGAAGCAGACACAGGGAGAATGTGCCAACTCCACACAGACAGTCGCCTGAGGTCAGATTTGAACCTGGATCCCTGGTGCTGTGAGGTAGCGGTGCTAACCACTGAGCCACCAGACTGCCCCCAATCTTGTTTCCAATCCATTAACTAATGAAAGGGATACAGATTTGTACTGGGTTATGTTAGGCCGAATGGCCTGTAACATCAATGCTGGTGTTTATACATCATTTGTCCATCCTTTCCCGTCTCACCTGAAATAATTGCACAGATGCTGGTACTCTGTCACCATTATTACTAATGCACAGTACACTGGCTGTGGCCAGACTGCTCGGAGTTATTCGCTTGGACTGAGGAGTTTCTAATCTCTTAGTTAATTTGGTCAGGTCAGCCAGGATCTTCCTGATAGGCTGAGGTTAACAACCCCAATCAAGGATCTCATAGTCAACACGGTCAACCTGGTTCCAATCACTACATCACCCTATCGGTGTAAACCTCTATTTCTGTCCTGGTCGTATGTGTCCACCTCCCCTTGAGATACCGTTAACCTCCAGCACTCCTGGTGAGCCCAGGTCTTGCTTCCTCTGTGGAAACCTTTCATCGTTTGAATGATCTCTCTTCCTACCACCAGCCCTCATTTTCTAAGGGGAATGTGGCATAACCTGTCTCTCTTTCTCTGTCGGGTGTATTCTCGTTCTGGTGTCTGATTGTAAATCTGTTTCTTCACTGTCTTATAGAGTCATATGGCACGGAAACAGACTCTTCGGTTCAAGTAGTCCATGCCGACCATAATCCCAAACTAAAGTAGTCCCACCTGCTTGCGCTTGACCCATTTCCCTCCAAACATTTCTTATTCATGTACTTATCGAAATGTTGCTGAACTGTTGTAACTGTACCCACATCCGCCACTTCCTCGGGAAGTTCATTCCACACAAGTTTCATTCCACATTTCACACAGCCTTTGTGACATATGCAAAGGATCAGAATTATGGAAGACACTGTTATTGCACAGTTGGGTAACGCTGTGGAGAACTGCAATCCTCAGCCAGGACTTGTATCCAGAGGAGCAGAATGAATATGCTGTAAGTATAGCTATTGCTTGTGAGTCATTCATCAGCTTAAATGTCAAACAAAAAGCCAAGATGCCCCATTTCAGATTTTAAAAACTTCATCTCCCGTCACAGATTACTTTCTTGAGTCTACAGTAAGGAGTTTAAATCTGCCACCATCTTCTGAAAGTGTGATTAGACTGAAGGCCCCTTCTCCCTGTCCACCAAGAATGTAAAAAGCCTGAAATCAGTAAATAAGTTCTCCAGTCCTGGCCAACATTTATGATGAGATCAATAACACAGAAGGGCTTAACTGATCTTTCGCTCAACGTTACTCTACCTTGAGATTTCTCCAATGAGTTCCAACAGTGCCCGCCAATGGAGAAGTGGGGCTAGCTGTGTAATTTGTAGTGGGAGATTTCAGAGGAGCTGGGAGAGGGGTTGGGTTTGTCCACTGAGACCCTCAAGAATTTGGGAGAGATCAGGGAAGATTCGAGGAGACAGTCTTAGAGAGCCAGAGTGAGGGGACTGCACGATATCGATTCCAAGCACCCAGCTGTGGTGGTTCCCCATGTTCTCGTCCAACAGGTATCAAGGACCAAGTGCAGTGCTTTTCCTGTGATGGCAGCCTAGCCAACTGGGAGGAAGGGGACGACCCGTGGCAGGAGCACATCAAATGGTTCCCACAGTAAGTGGACCCTTTCTTTTCCTTTCCTCTCCGAGCCTCCGCGTTTTGCCAGAGGTGCTATCCCAATGAAGAGCAGAGCCTGGGCCTCTCAGCCCACAGAGAAAGGCGGAGTTCTTTCAAACTGCACATAGACACAGCAGAGACTGGCCCTGGTTTTGGTGAATGTCACGTCAACAACTTCATGCACTGCCAGACATGGGAATGTGAGCATTACATGTGTTCCCTGTATATGGGAACATGAGTATCGTGTGTGTTCCCTGGGCATGGGCGTATCAGTGTTGCGCGTGTTCCCTGGGCACGGGAATGTCAGCATTGCGTGTGTTCCCCAGACACGGGAAAGCGAGCGTTGCATATGTCCACTGGACAAGGGAGTGCAAGCATTCTGTATGTTCCCTGGACATGGGAGATCGAGCATTGTCTATGTCTGTCCCCTTTCAGACTGAAGACGATGGGGTGAAATCCCAGCTCAGGGACTGATGTGTAATTGCACAGCCTGCTCCCTCAGTCCGATGGCTCTGTTGTCTTTCCAAGGTGCGAGTACCTTCAAGGACAGAAATCCGAGGAGGAGAGGGACCGGTACTGCCGGAGCTATGTTGGATTTCATGGAGTCACGGTAAGCATTTCATCAAAGCACAGATGAGGCCTATCAGCCCAATGGTGCGAGCGCTGGATAGATAAATCCTGGGAGCTGGTCCTCGGGACTGGATGCTCCAATCTGTTTGGGATGGGACCCACAAGGAGAGAGAACTGTCGATCTCCAGGCAGATGAGGCAACAGTGTTGGGCCATACATGAAGCATATTTCACTCCTAGAGTCTGACACGTGCTTTGACATGCGTGTAGCATGATGGGAGAGGCTGTGCCACACATGCACACGCGTGCGGCTGACTGGAAATTTCTCCCGCGCTCCCCACTGGTGTGCACCAGATGGAGTCACAGGCTGGTGCCCTCCAACCGTTTGGGTATACCACAGGCACTCCTTCATCGGGCGTGATGTGAGACTCCATCCCAGAGACCCCAGCTCAGAGGCGGGGACACTACCCACAGTGGCTGCAAAGGGCTGGGGTTTGGGGAGGCCATTCGGAGGAGTCCATCAATGCTGTCCCAGCCAGCAATCCCCAATTCCTGTGAAGAAATTCCACCTCCTCCGCTGAACCCGTTAGACATCCCAGTGGGCCGTACTCCCGCAGGAGCTAATCCGGGCAAAGATGCGGCGGATAAAGGGGGAAATGCAGGGCGTGTTCAAGCGTGAGGGGCGCCCCTTCTCTCGGATTTCCAAGGCCATTCCTTGTGTTTCCCGCAGGCCGCAGACTTTCTGAGCCCCCCAACCTCGGAGGACCTTTGCCCATCGCCATCATCTCGAGGTGAGGGACCTGAATCGCGTGAGTTGGCTTCAATTCCTTTGGGGTTTGGGGCAAGGGTGGAGTATAGTTGTTGGTTAGGGGGTTCACTCAGCCTCTGCAATCCAGAGGAGGGGGTGCCCTCTTTTTAAGAGTTGGGGGAAGCTGGCAGCGAAGGGGGCACTTGAGGGGGTTGTGAGTCTGGATGCAAGTTGCCCATTCTACGCTAACTACCCTTGTTACCCTCATGGAATCATGCAGTGCAGAAGAGACCCTTCAGCGCATCGAGTCTGTACCACTGAAAGTACGTTCTGACCTACACTGGTCCCACTTTTTCGCTCCTGCCTTGAATGTGATGACAGTTCAAGCGCTCATCAAAGTATTTTGGTTTGAAAGTTTGAAAGCTTCCCACCTCAACTACCTCCCTTCCCTGGGGCATTCAAGAGCCCCTCCCCCATTACCCTTTGGGTGAGGGACCTGCTTCTCAAACTCCCTTCTGCGTGTCCCCTTAAAATTATGTGTTATCACAGTTCTCACATGACATTGCTAGGGCAGCATTTATTGCCCAGAGTCAACCACATTGGTGTAGGCAAGACCAGGTAAGGGTCATCATCATCAGCAAATCCCTACAGTGTGGAAACAGGCCCTTCGGCCCAACAAGTCCACACTTACCCTCAAGGCATGCCACCCAGACCCATCCCCGTATAGCCCACCTAATCTACACTATGGGCAATTTAGCATGGCCAATCCTCCTAGCCTGCACATCTTTGGACTGAGTGAGGAAACCAGAGCACCCAATGGAAACCCACGCAGATACGGGGAATGTACAAACTCCACACAGACAGTTGCCCAAGGCTGGAATTGAACCCGGCTCCCTGGCTCCATGAGGCAGCAGTGCTAACCACTGAGCCAACATGCCACCCTAAGGGGTCCTTCCTTAGTGAGCCAGATGCAATTTTCCTGACAATCAACAATAGTTTTGTGGTTGTTAGCTTCTTAAATTCCAGTTCTTGTTTAAAAATTGGATTCAAACCCCACCGAATCCCATGGCAGCATTTGAACCTGGGTGCCCAGAACATTATCTGGGTCTCTGGATTAGCAGTCCAGAGGTAGTACCACTAGGCCATCACCTCCCCCTGTCTGAAGCTGAATGCTCCTATTCTGAATCTGTTCCATCTTTGTGGTCACTTCATCTCAGAGTAACAACAGCCGAACTCTCTGCAGGTCCCATAAACAGGTCACTAAGATACAGAATTACATTTTCCCGTCCGTTCCTCTGTGTTAACGTCTCTACGATTTCTGTCAGACTCCCATCACCAGCTCAGGAATAGCTGATTCTGAGATGCATTCTTGACACATGGTAGCACTGTCACTGAGTCCATCATCTGAAGGCCCAAGTATGGACATGGTGGTCTCAGTCCAGACGTTTCTTAGCTGTTAACAGTTTTCCTGTCTTCGCCATGTGACTAGAGCCGGACCTGGGCTGGGGTCAGAATATTTTCGTGGCTGAGAAGACCCGACTGGAGTCATTCTACACCTGGCCACCAGGGTGCAGCACCAGCCCGGCTGAGCTGGCGGGAGCTGGATTTTTCTACCAAGGTCAGTTGGTCTGAGCTGGTCGGTGAGAGCGGGTGTCCTCGTTGCAGTTTAGAGACACAAAAGGTGGGGGTGGGGAGGGTGGAGAAAGGGTTGCATTTCTGTTGCGCTTTCCACAAACCCCGGGTCTCCCCGAGGCACCGCGCAACTGGTCAGTGACCCTCATAGGCCTGGAGTGGGGGCGCATGGCAAGATCCCACGAGCAGCTGTGTGAGCACGGCTCTTGCCGTGGGATAAATGTCAGCCTGAGGTGGCCTGGTTTGGGCAGAAGGAGACCTCACCTCCTAGCCCACCACCGCCCCCATGCCCCCACCAGCTCTGCCACCCCAGGGGACAACAACTGAATGGCAGGCGGTTCCTCCTCCCAGTATTCCCAAGTCTCTCCTCCGTCTCCGACAGATCCGTGCGGTGAGTGGTCAGCTTCCTGATCTTGGCCGAAATTCCCCATTGTGGCGCTGCCCACTCTGTACCCATCTTAGCCCCAAGGACGGGCTGGCACGGGGAGGGGTGGGCGAAACGGTATGTCCCTTGCACAGTGGACACTTGTGTCGTTTATGCAGGGAACAGGGTACCATCTCAGCGCTCTCTCTCTATACGTCTCCAGGTCTGGGTGACTGCGTTCAGTGTTTCTGCTGTGGAGTTCAATTATCAGGATGGGAGGAAGAAGATAACGCTTGGACAGAGCACCGGAGACACTCATCAGAGTAAGGAGAAACATGAGGCTGCGCTTGTTCATGCCACCACCAGGGAGAGCTCTTCACCCACACATGCACACGGAGACAGTCCCAGCTTTCAGACAGAGCAATCCTTTACTCGGCTATTAACACCCACTCCGGAACCAATGTTTTTCCTTATGGAGATGCAATTAGGTTGGGGCGGGAGGTTTTCCCACAATGATGAGCCAAATTAAACTAAATTTAAGATGCAAATTGAAAGCTGGAGTTGCTATGTCGATTGGTACAGAGTTAGTGCTGCCCAGAATGTTCTGTTTATTGTTCCCTCTTTAGAACTGAGGTGCTTATTGCAGAAACTGTGTCATATTAGTTTTGAACAGGGCTTTTTAAGGATGTAAAAGAGTCTTCAAGTAAAAGAGCCCTACAGCTCAGAACAGATCCTTCAGTCCAACCAGTCCACGCTGACCATAACCTCAAACTAAACTAGTCTCACCTGCCTGCTCCTGGCCCCAATCCCTCCAAACCTTTCCTGTTCATGTGCTTATCCAAATGTCTTTTAGGCATTCTAACTGTACCTACATCCACCACTTCCTCTAGAAGTTCATTCCACACACAAACCACCGTCAGTGTAAAAAAATTGCCCCTCTTTGCCCTTGTCTTTTTAAAATCTCTCTCCTCTCACTTTAAAAAATATGCCCCAGGTCTTGAAATACCCCATCCTAGGGAAAAGACAGCTAACATTAACCTTATCTGCACCACTCATGATTTTATAAATCTGTACAAGGTCACCCCTCAACCTCCTATGCTCCAGTGAAAAAATGTCCCAGCCTATTCAGCCCCTCCTTATAACTCAAACCTTCCATACCCCGCAACATCCTGGTAAATCTCTTCTGAACCCTGTCCAGCAGAACAATATCCTTCCTATAACAGGGTGACCAGAACTGGACACAGTACTCCAGAAGAGGCCTCACCAAAGTCCTGTACAACCTCAAAATGACTTCCCAACTCCTATACGCAAACGTTTGAGCAGTGATCAAAAATCAGTGGACCCACTGCATTTATCACCAATATTTAGCTCTTACATATCTGTTCAAATGAGTATGTACTTAGTTAGCTGGGTGTAGAAGATGCAAAGGCACACTATGGCTAGGGGGTCATTCCTGGCAAGGTATTGTTACTGAGTTCATAATCCAGCTTTGTTAGACTCAAAACATTCACTGTGTTTCTCTCATCACAGATGCTGCGAGACCTTGTTGAGTTCCTGCAGTAATTTCTCTCAATGTTTCAGATTTCTGAGTTTTTATTCATAATAAACACCTGGGATGTGTTGAAGATGTGGGTTCAAATCCCAACACTGCAGATGTTGAGAATTTGATTTCAGTGAAACCGGAGTTTAAAAGTTAGTTCACCTGTGATCTTTGACAGAGTCTTGAGCATGGAAACGAACTCTTCGACCCAACTTGTCCATGCTGACCAGGTTTCCCAAACTGAACTACTTCCATTTGCCTGCATTTGGCCCATATCCCTCCAAACCTTTCCTATTCATGTACCTGTCCGAATGTCTTTCCAACGTTGTGACTGTACCTTTGTTGTAAAAACACCACCTGGTTCAGTATTGCTCCTTAGGGAGGGAGATCTGCCGTCCTTACTGGGTCTGGGCCTACACATGACTCCAGACCCCACAGCCAATTTTGTTGCCTCTGGTCAATTGCGGAGGGCAATGGCCACATCTCACCTGTTATTTTATTAAAGATCCCCTGAGGGGATTTGACGAGGGCTGGGGCTGGGAGGATGTTCACCTCCATGGGGGTAATCTAAAATGGGAGATGGGGGGTAGAGTTTCAGAGGAAGGGGGCCCTGCCTTGAAGGTGGAGATAAGGAGGAATTTCTTCTCTCAGAGGGCGGTCACTGTTTGGAATTCTCTTCCTCAGTCACCAGTGCAGGATGGGTAACCAAATGTACCCAAGGCCTGAGATTCTGATCCACAAGAGTTTTATACAAAGAACAGGTTATACCTGTCAATTCGTTGAGGAACACAAGAACATCCAGCTCAAACTGACTCTGATTTTGCATTCCAGGTGCCCGTACCTTCTGGCGAGAGACAAGGCGGCTGGCGGAGATGCGGGAGGAGAGCAGATCCTGGAATCATCCCTCAGCATGCCGGTAATGTGGAACTGTCTGTTTGCCTCCAACAGGAGTAGCATATTTCAGGGGCTTATTGGCAGCTGGATGCTGACAGCTTTCTGCATTGTGCTTCCCCGCGTCGTGCCCTTTGACCCTGACGAGAGCCGCTAAGGGGCAGTGTGCGTGGCTCTGACCTTGATCGACCTTTGCCAAGTTTGCTGCTGCCACAGTTGGCAAGGATGACATATTTTGGCCATTGGTTGGGGGCCAGTGTTGTTGGCGAGACTGACTGGGCCAATGAGACAGGGCATTCGGACTCCCCCATGTTGCTGACCTACTCAAGAGGGCCATCAATTTGATTCCATATTGGGAGGGAACCCCACAAACCCCCCTCTTCACCAGCCCCCACTGTCACAGTGTGTCAGCTCTGGTTGAAGTGTTGAGAATGAGTCTTGAACTCGTGGCATGGTAGCTCAGTGGTTAGCTTTGCTGCATTACAGTGCCAGGGACCCATGTTCGATTACCCCCTCAGGCTACAGTCTGTCTGTGTGGAGTTTGCACATCCTCCCGTGTCTGTGTTGGTTTCCCCCAGGTGCTGCGGTTTCCTCCCACGCTCCAAACACGTGCAGGTCAGGGTGGATTGGCTATGCTAAATGGTCCCATAGGGTCCAGGGATGTGCAGGTTAGAGTGGATTGGCCGTGCTAAATTGTCCTACAGTGCCCAGGGATGTGCAGGTTAGGGTGGATTGGCCGTGCTAAATTGTCCCATAGTGCCCAGGGATGCGCAGGTTAGGGTGGATTGGCCGTGCTAAATTGTCCCATAGTGCCCAGGGATGTGCGGTTTAGGGTGGATTGGCCGTGCTAAATTGTCCCATAGTGCCCAGGGAGGTGCAGGCTAGCCATGGCAAATGCAGGGATAGGGTAGGGGTGTAGGTCTGGGTGGGATGTTTTTCAGAGGGCTGGTGTGGACTTGACGGGCTGAATGGCCTGCTCCCACATTTTAGGGATTCTGTGTCCAAGCACCTGATTCCCCTAGTGCCAGTGATAGCCCAGGTACGATTCCTGAAAACCAGATTCAGGAATCAGTTTGGGGTTTGAGCTGCTGTTACACACCCAAAATACTGAGGGGGGCCAGAGCAGAGAGTGCTGGATTAGGGAGGTAAAATATGCTTAACATTCTTATCCTGATACATGCGGAGAGGGCAGCAGCTAGGACTGTAGATAATTTCTCATTGACTGGTCCAGGTATAACACATCTCAGGAGCAGATGGGCCTTGAACCCAGGCCTCCTGGCTCAGAGGTAGGGACAAAACCACTGTGTCACAAAGCCCTCAGTTCACTCTATATTCGCTGGAGTTTAGAATAATGAGGGAGTTTCTCATAGAGACGGAACAGGATGAGACAGGGGAAAGGCAGGGAGGATGGTCCCACTGACCAGGGTGTCCACAACCAGGTGGTCGCAGATGTAAAGGAGATGAATTAGGACTGAGATGAGGAGAAACGTATTCACCCAGACAGGGCCTGTGGAATTCACTGCCACAGAGAGTGAGCAAGGCCAAAACACGTTTTCAACAAGGAGTTGGATATCGTTCTCAGGGCTAAAGGGATCAAAGGGTCTGGGGGACAAAGCGAGAACAGGTTGGATGATCCATCCATGATGGTATTGAATGGCGGACCAGGCTTGAGGGGCTGAATGGCCTACGTCAGTTGCCGCTTTCTATATCTTTATGCTCCCAAGTCTGAAGTCTGTGCAGCTTGAAGGCATTTCTCATGGTGCTCCCCAGAGGACCTTAGCTTGTTGGTACAATCGGGTCAGGATTCCTGGAGCTCAGCATGATGAGGATCTTCTTTCTTGAATAGGATGAGGAAGCCAGGGAGAAGGACGATCCCATCACTGGAGGTGAGTCTGTCAATTGGTCGTAGTGAATGGATCCCCAGTAGATCACCTACCGACTGTTGCTGATGTTCCCCTGAGTCTCGCTTTCAAACAGCAACGAGCTGGGTGGTGTGGTGTTTTAATGTCAGGAATGTGCTAGAGATCGAACCTCACCACAACAGATGGTGAAATTGGAAACCTCTACCTGAAAAAACAACTAAAGGTTTGGCCTTTTGAGAAAGGGAACAGCAAAGGTTCACAGCCTTGTGAAAGATAAAAATGGTTTCCTCATCTCTGTTTTAAATGGGTGCCCCCTTATGTTTAAACTGTGACCCCCCCCCCGCCTCATTCTAGTTTCTCCAACAAGAGGAGTCAACAGCTACAAGAGGGTAGTGGAGTCGGCCTCATTAGGGGCATTTAAGCGGCTATTAGCTAGGCATATGGATGATAGCATAACGTAGGGGTGTAGGTTAGATAGACCTTAGGATTAGGGTAAAAGTTCAGCACAACATCGTGGGCCAAATGGCCTGTACTGTACTGTTCTATGTTCTTTGTTCTATCCTTTCCATATCCACCTGGTCAACTCCCCTCAGGATCTGAAAAGTTTCAATTAAGTCACCTCTGCCCCTCCAAACTCTAGAGGATACAGGCTGAGCCTCTTTAGTCTTTCCTTCATAAGGCTGTCCACTCTTTTCAGGTGGTAAACCTTCTCTGAACCACTTCCAATGTAATAACGTCCTTCCCTGAGTACAGGGGACTAGTCCAGTACACAGTACACCAGCTGTGGTCTCAGCAGTGCTATATAAAACTGAGGCATCGCCTCCCTAACCTCTTCCGTGCAATCGTGCTCCTAATAAAACATAGAATTCTACGAGTTCTCCTGATAGCATGCAGGGACAACAAGCAAACCTTCGGAAATTCCTGCACAGATCCCTCGGCTTTTATCGCTGGGCGTGTCACGTATTCACCTGCTGCAATGCTTTATCTCCAACAAGGTTTGACTGTTTTTATTTTTACAGGGAGCCTGTCTAGCAAGGAGGACTGGGCTGAGACTGTCAGGAGGATGAGGAAACGTTTGCAGAAGCTGTACCGCTCATCCGAGTTCAACGCCGTCTCCTTCAATGGCTGTGTTTCCGTCGACCTGGGCACGTGCTACGCGGAGCCGCGCCTGGTGCTGAAGGACCTCAGGGACAGGGAGGTGCGCCGGCTGGCTTTCCCCGAGCTGCTGCGTGACCTCTGCCGGGTGACCCTGCTGGAGGGCGAGGCGGGCATGGGCAAGTCGGCCCTGCTCAGGAAGGTGGCCATTCTCTGGGCGTCCGATCGCTGTCCCCTGCTGGCCCGCTTTGTGCTGGTGCTGCACGTGTCGCTGACACAGGGCGGCTGGGGCTGGAAGGCGGGCACCGTGTGGAGGGAGCCCTCCCTCGACGAGCTGGTTTCCCGGCTGGGCGACCGCCTCCTGGTCTTGCTGGACGGCTACGGAGAGGCTGAGCCCCTGCCGGTTGAGGACGAGCTGGTCCGCGCCAACCACCGAGGCAATGCCGCTGTACTGGTGGGCCTCAGGACCGACAGGGCCGCCGCCGTCCGCCAGTTCGCCGACGCCGTGGTCTCCATCGCCGAGTTCCCGCTCTACAGCTCCATACGACTTTTGAAGACGAAGTTCACCCACGACAGGCCGCGACTGTGCGAGTTTGTCTACAATGTCGGCAGGTCCAAGACGCTGAGGGCGGCCCTGAAGACCCCGCTGTTCACCCTGGCCCTCTGCCAGCACTGGGTGAGGGAGCCACTGGATAGCGGCCTGAGCTGTGTCTCCCTGTTCCGCGCTTTCCTGGCCTACGCCGTGCGGCCGGAGAGCCGGGGGGAGCGAGCAAGGCGAGCTCTGGAGGCCTGCGGGAGCCTGGCGCTGACCGGGTTCCTCGTCTCCCGCTACGAGTTCTCCGACGAGGATCTCCTCCGGGCCGGGGTGGACGCAGAGGGCGCCCTGGGTCTCGGCCTGCTAAGTAAGTTCACCGCTCAGCGCCTGACTCCCGTCTTCAGGTTCCCCCACGTCTCCTTCCAGGAGTATCTGGCGGGCATGCGGCTAGGTGGCCTCCTGGGTTCAGAGCTCGCCGCTGAGCGGGAGGAGGGGTCCTCCTCCCTGGGCCGGGTCCGCACCTTCTTGGAGGTCTTCACGCGCTACCACTACCTCCTGGTCTACGCAGCGTCGTGGTCCAACAAGGCAGCGTCGCTCATCGTCACCCACCTTTTCGACATGACCCAGAGGCCTACGTCCTTTGACTGCTGGGCCGACGCTAGCCCTGCCCTGGTGCACCATCCTGATTTAGTGTCGTACCGGGATCTCTTCATCCAGGGCTCCCAGATAATGGACCCCGAGCAGATGTCACATCTGACCACCAAGCTCGTGCTGGATTTTGTCTTGTCACTGACTAACGCAGAGACCAAATCCTCCATCGCCTCTGTCGTTCTGAATTTCCTGACCGGGAAACATTTGCAATTTCGTGTCTCTGAGCTTCACCAGAGGAAAATACTCACCTTTCTAAAGGTGTACCCCGAAACATTGACCGTCCTCAGCCACCTCAAGATCTCAATAACTGGGAAAAAGAAATCGGCCACGATGAGTTATTCCGAAATGGCGGAATGCATGAGCAATCTGGGCATCCCAAAGGTGGAAGAGGATTACGTGCCTGCGTTCCAGTCACTGGAACAAATGTTCCTGACCAACCAGGCAAAGCAAGAGGAAATAAGCAGCTTCTCTGCTCTCACCAGCCACAATATCCCAGACTCTTTCATGGAGAACTTGGCTTCAATCCCCGCTCACTACAAGGTCCCAGTACTAAAACTCCACATCCATTGCTTCGACACCTTCCGGGAAGAGGATTCGGAGTGTCTGCTGAGGCTGTGCTCCCTCGCCGACCGCGTGGAGCTCACCATCTGGAACAGTCTTGGAGTTCTTGGGCAGATGGAAGCAGCCGTTTCGTCGTGCGGCGAGCGCTTAAGGGCGCTGACCCTGCGCCAGAGTGCTTTGAGCCACAGAGAGCAGGAGCTGGTCACCGCGATGAACGCCCTTGAGTCGCTGGACCTGACGTTCGCCGACGACCAAGCCCCAGGTCCTGGAGGCACCTTACCATTGATATTGCACCTTTAATTTGCCGACATGTCCCCATTGGGCTCCATGGGAGCATTCATCAAACAACACTTAACAGGCGATGTGAAAGCAGATGACCAAAAACAGGGGAGGTTTGGAACCCCCATCTTCGGATAGATGGGAAGAGTTCCAGAGGGAAATTCCAGAGCTTAAGGCCCTGAGCAGCTAAAGGCTGATTAACGATGGAGCAGTGGGAATCGGAGATACACAAGGGGCCAGAGTTGGAGAATGGCAGATATCTTAAGAGGGTTGTGGGATTGAAGAAGGTTCTGGGCAGAGACAAGGCAGGGATGTGGGTCATGGAGGGATTCAAAAAATAAAGTTGAGAACTTTTAAATCGAGGCAATTCATTGAACATGGCGGGTGTTGGGTAAAGGGGATTTAATGCAAGTTAGGCTAGGGGGACAGGCACAGTTCTGTTGATGGAAAACTTTTCAGGTAACTTACCAAACGATTGGCATTGCCTGACCAGTTCGAAGACATTGAGTATAGGAGTTGGGAGGTCACGTTGGGGCTGTACAAGGCATTGGTTAGGCCACTTTTGGAATTCAACGTTCAGTTCTGGTTGCCCTGCTATAGGAAGGTTATTGTGAAACTTGAAAGGGTTCAGAAAAGTTTTGCAAGGATGATACCATAGTTGGAGGGTTTGAGCCATAGGGAGAGGCTGAATAGGCTGGGGCTATTTTCCCTGGAGCATCGGAGGCTGAGGGGTGACCTTACAAAGGTTTATAAAATCATGAGGGGCATGGACAGCCATGCTTTCTTTCCCTGGGAGTCCATAACCAGAGGGCATAGGTTTAAGGTAAGAGGGAAAAGTTTTAAAAGGGAGCTGAGGGGCTACTTTTTCTCACAGAGGGTGGTGTGCATATGGAATGAACTGCCATAAGACGTGGTGGAGGCTGGTACAATTACATTTAAAAGGCATCTGGATGGGTAAATGAATAGAAAGGATTTAGAGAGATAGGGACCAATTGCTGGAAAATGGGACTAAGGTGGGATATCTGGTCGACATGGACAATTTCGACCCAAGGGTCTGTTTCCATGCTGTACATCTCTATAACTCTATGACTCTATGTGCAGAGAGTGACTCTTCTTATAGCGATGAACTAACAAGTGAATCTCTTCATCATAGAGTACTTGCTGAGTCAATTGGACAAGTTTGAACAACTAAAAGAACTCATGATCGACATCGGTGCTGGTTCATCACTGAAAATCATTGACCAGATTTACGATGGCTTTGCAAAACTGCGGAACGTCGAAAAGCTCACCCTGTCTGGAGTCAACTGCGTGCTGGATTCTTCAAAGCTTGGTAGGCGCTGTCTTGGCCCAGCTCTGAACGTGACGCTGGCCGTGTTTTCATAACACATGGGAATAGTGCACTGGAAAGTAAGCTTCACTACTGTCAGAATCATCACAAATTGTGAAAGGATTTAGTCAGTCGGTCCAAAGTCCAGAATTTACTTGGCTGATGAGCTGAGGTTCAAAAAGAAAAACTCACCAGGTTTCTGCACTTAACAGAACAAAACTACTTCTTACAAACAAATTCTCTTGAAGAATGGCAGTATGAATTGCTGACTTATAACTCCACAACTTAAACTATCATTCCCATTTTGTTCCTGTCATATTCTGACAGACACACAAAGACATACAAGTCGTGTAGGTTAAAGATGGAATCATGATCAGGGAATCACAGTTCAGTAGCATGAGTCCAGACCACAGGCTGCAATAAGTTGCTTCCTGTCAGTTTATTTTGGCTCTTTGCTGTTTGCGTTGTTTGTAGTTTGCATGCTGATGCTCTCTTTAAGTCATTAGTTGACAATCCACCCCTTTCACTTTCTTTAAAGAGAGATTTTGATCCAACCTGAATGTTGAGACAGAAAGCTGAGTGGTAAGTAGCCAGCTTTTGCTAGAGACTTGCAAGTACCTCTGCCCAGGAGGGAGAGACACACAGAGAGGGAGAGAGAACTTTTTTTCTTTCTCTCTGTAGGTTCAATATTCTTCTGTTGCACTGGCCCCTCACAAGCCATGGTCACCCGTCCATGAGGCAAATAAGAGTTTGTTATTGTTATAAAGTGGAGGTTGACTCCCACCGTGAGCTAAAACCGAAACACTCAAAGAGGAGCACCTCACCCTATAATCTGTAAAAGGAGTGAGAAAAGTTGTGTAATCTGCCTTTCAGCAACTTCTAGTGGTTAAATAAAATAAACCCCTGACACTCACTTTACAATCAACAAAGAACAATTAATTTATCTAACTCTAACAGTGAACAAATTAACTAAACTATTAGCAAACTGAATAAACCCCTCCTAACTACTAACTATTCCTGAATAAAACAAGATTCTAATACTATGCTGTTCCAATAAATATAAGTGCAACTTATGTAAAATAAAAGAAAGTAGAATTTATTCTCAAAATTACAGCCAGATTATGTGTCTTCTGGAGTGCTCTGTGCCTTCTCCATTGAATGTTCGGTCAGGAATGTTTCCTCCATCGATTCTTCTGTCAGGAATATTAACTAGTTGTGCCATTGGTATCTTTGATATTTAGATGGTGCTTTCTCTAAGACTTATAAGAGTCTGTGAGAGCCAGCGATTTTCTCTTGAGAGCTGAGAGCTGTTAACTCTGGCAGATTGAAGTTGGTTCTCCTATCTTTGTCCAACTGCCCTCTTATTTTATACCCCTGATGACATATCAATTTCTTACAGTTGGATTGGTCCTAGGTTGTCAAAAGCATCAGATTCAAATTTGATAGGTTTTTAGCATCTAAGTGCATGGTTCAACTTGATTGGTTAAATTCAAAAACCTGTTGTCTTGGTAAAAATGCTGCTTAATGGTATGGTGTTTTGATACAAATGCTTTAATTTGTGTGCTGCCTGTACTTGCAAACTTTCAAGCTGCTCGCAGGCATCTTCAAGCATAGAAAAATCACAATCTTTTAAAGGGACCATGCAGTGCTTTCCCCCTAGCATTTTACAAACATCAAATTCTAACATCCTGCCTCACAATCCACAAATACTCTACCCAACTTTACAATATTATCTGGAATATCTGCTTCTTTCTGTCACTCTTCCAGAAACATGTGCCCTCATACACAACTCACAATGTGCTGCGCGGTTTTTAAAACTGCAGTTTGGCTAATCTTTCCTCACCAATAATTGGGATCTACGTGAGATTGGAAAAGCAAACCTCGTATATTTCTGAGAGGTTTGATGGGGTTGAGGCGGAGGGGAGTTTAGAAGAATTAGAGGCAAACTTATTGAAACATACAAGATTCTTAGGGGACTAGACAGAGGAGATATGGAGAGGGCAGTATACAGGAGAGAAGTGGAAATAGACAGGGGAGATGTGGAGAGGTTCATTTGCCTTGTGGGAGACTCTGGGACGAGAGGGCATCATTTTAGAATAAGGGGTTGCCCATTTAAAACAGAGATGTGGAGGAATTTCTTCTCTCAGAGGGGTGTGAATCTGTAGAAATCTTCACTACAGAGAGCTGCCAAGGCTAGATTGTTAAGTACATTCAAGGCTGAGATAGACTTTTAATCATTAAGGGAATCAAGGGTAATGGGGAAAAGGCAGGAAAATAGAGTGGAGGATTATCAGATCAGCCATAATCTCATTGAATGGTGGAGTGGACTCAATGGGCTGAATGGCTTACTTCTGCTCCTACATCTTATGACACATTTCTAACTTTGAAAGGTGAATCTAAAAATAGAGGAGTTAGTTAAAAATAAGACATTGGCCACTGAAGACGAGATGAGGAGGAATATCTTCTCTGAGTGTTTGGAATATTGTCCTCCAGAGAGCAGTGGAGGATGGCTCGTTGAATGTATTTAAGTCTGAGTTAGGTAGATTTTTAGTTGGCAAGTCAAGGCCAGGCAGAAACGTGGAGCCAAGGGCACAATCAGATCAGCTGAATGGTACAGCAGTCTTGAGGATCCCATTCATAAAAGTCATCGAGTTGTACAGACCCTTCAGTCCAACCAGTCCATGACGAACAGAATCTCAAACTAAACTAGTCCCACCTTCCTGCTCCTGGCCCATATCCCTCCAAATCTTTCCAACTCATATAGTTATCCAAATGTCCTTTCAATGTTGTAACTACCCGCATCCACCACTTCCTCTGGAAGTTCATTCCACACGTGAACCACCCTCTGTGTAAAAAAAATTGCCCCTCATGACTTTTTTACACCACTCTCCCTCACCTAAACAATGTGCCCCCTGGTCTTGAAAACCCCAATCCCAGGGAAAAGATAACTACCATTAACTCTATCTATACCCGTCATTATTTTATAAACTTTCTGTAAGGTCACCTCTCAACCTCCTATGCTCAAATGAAAAAAGTCCCAATCTATCCAGCCTTTCTTAATATCTCAAACCTTCCATACCTGGCAACATCCTGATAAATCTCTTCTGAACCCTCTCCAGCTTGATAATATCCTTCCTATGACTGGTCGACCAGAACTGGACACAGTATTCCAGAAGGGCACGTATGTTGAACTTGTACAAGACACTTGTTAGACCTCGGCTGGAGTGTTGTGTACAGCTGTGGGCTCCAAATTATAGGAAACATGTGAATGCATTGGAGAGACTGCAGAAGCGATTTGTAAGAATGGTTCCAGGGATGAGAAACTTCAGCGACGAGGAGAGATTGAAGAAGTTGGGACGACTCTCCTTGGAGAGAAGAAGTCTGAGAAAGAGATGTGATGGAGGCTTTCAAAATTGTGAGTGGGGCTGGATATAGATAGGGAGAAGCTTTTCTCACTCGTAAACAGGACAAGAACAAGAGGGGAAAGTGATTTGTGAATGACACAAGGGTGATGTGGGAGGAGACGTGGTCACCCAGTGAGTGGTTAGGGTCTGGCATGCACTGTCTGGCAGTGTGGTGGGGGCAGGTTCAATTGGGGCATTGAAGAGGAGCTATTGGATGGTTATTGGGATAGAAATGGCATGCAGGGAAATGGGGAAAATGGAGATTGGTGTGGGGTGACAGGCAATCACGATGGGCTGTCAAAATCATGAGCAGGCCTGGATAGAGGAGAGTGTGAGGAACTGTTCCCACTTGTAAAAGAAACAAGAGGGGTATAGATTTTAAAAAAGAAACAAAGGTGATATGAGAAAAATCTTTTTCACGCAGCCAGTACTTAGAGTGTGGAATGCACTGCCTGGAAATGTGGTAGGGACAGATTTAACTGAGGCATTCAAGAGGGACATTGGATAGTTGTTTGGATAGAAATGGTGTGTAGGAATATGGGGCAGTAAAAGGCAGGAGATTGGTCACTGGGTAGTAAAATTAGTGCAGGCAGGTATGATGGGCTGTTTGGCCTTCTTCAGTTCCCTAGCAATTCTGTGATTCAGTGACATTATGAAAGAACTGGACCCTCCACCAAGAAGTACATTTTTGGCAGGAGAATTCCCACCTCGACCTGCCCCGGTCCTTGTCTCCACAGCTCACATGTTCTGTCTTCTAGCTCACCTCCTCCGGAGTTTTCCGCAGCTCCGGGTGTTCCGCCTGAAGATCAGCAGCTGCTTCCCAGAGTTTGAGGACCTCAGCAAGGCTTTAACATCATGCTCACGTCTGGAGGAACTGGCACTGAGTGATTTTCACCTGTCTCCAACAGAAACTTTGGCATTCGGTAAGTGAGCTAAGGTCACAATCCAACGTCCCTGTCTGTTCTTCCCTCACGTTCCCCCCCACCCCCTGCCCAGTTTTGGGAAGGAGGTTGGATTCACAGATTGGGGGCTCCTTGCAATGCCCCACATTGCGATCTTCACATGTAGGCCTAGTCATGGGGGAAGCCCTGGTGTTGTGGCAATGTCCAGAAATCCAGAGCCGCTATCAAATGTTTTGGGGCCATGGGCTTTGAATCTCACATTGGCTGATGGTAAAATTTGAATTCGATAAAAATTTGGATTAAGGGATTTAGCACGCTTGCCTTCGTTGCTCAGACCTTTGAGTATAGGAGTTGAGATGTCATTGTTGAGGTTGTACAGGAAGTTGGTGAGGCCCATTCTGGAGTACTGTGTGCATTTTTGGTCACCCTGTTAAAGGAAGGATATTATTGAACTGGAGAGGATTTAAAAGAGACTTATCAAGGTGTTGCTGGGAATGGAGGATTTGAGATATAAAAATAGACTGGAAAGAATGGAACTTTTTTCACTGGACCGTAAGAAGCTGAGGGGTGACCTTGCAGAGGTTTATAAAATCATGAGGGGTATAGATAAGGTGAATGACAAGGGTCTTTTCCATAGGGTGGGGGAGTTCAAAACAAGGGGGCACATTTTCAAGGTGAGGGGAGAAATATTTAAAAAGGACATGAGGGTGGTTTGTGTGAGGAAGTGGCAGATGCGGTAACAGTTACAACATTTAAAAGACAGTTGGATAAGTTCATGAAGAGGAAACGTTTGGAATGATATGGGCCAAACGCAGGCAGGTGGGACAGTTTAGTTTAGGAAACCTGGTCAGCATGGACAGGTTGGACTGAAGGGTCTGTTTCTGTGCTGTATGACTCTATGGTTCTATAACTGCTGTCAAATCCCATTTGGTTCGTCAATGTCACTCTCGGAAGGACATCTCCCATCCTTATTTAATCTGGCCTGCATGTGACTCCAATGGTTGACAGCTGGTGTTATTAAATGCTGGTCTTTTATATTTTTAAAAATCGGTGTCTGGGAGTGACAGAATTACAAATGTGACCATGAGCTATTCGACATGCAAATCACTGAAAGCTGATGTGCAGATGGAGCAAACAATTAGGAAGGTGAATTATACTGTGGCCTTGATCACAAAGGGGATTTGATCAGGAATAACATACAGCAACTGCAGAGAGCCTTGATCATTGAGTGTAGGAGTTGGGACATCATGTTATGGCTGTACAAGACATTGATTAAGCTGTATTTGGAGCACTGAATACAATTCTGGTTGTCCTATTATAGGAAGAATGTTGTTAAACTGGAAAGGGTGCCAAAAAGATTTGCAAGGATGTTACCAAGACTGGAGAGTTTGAGTTATAAGGAGAGGCTGGGACATTTCCCCCGGAGCGTCGGAGGCTGAAGGTGACCTTTATAGAGGTTTATAAAATCATGAGGGGCCTAGATGAGGTATAGGGTGGCACAGTGGCTCAGTGGTTAGCACTGCTGCCTCACAGAGCCAGGGACCCAGGTTTGATTCCATCCTCAGGTGACTGCAAGTGCGCAGTTTGCACATTCTCCCCATGTCTGTGTGGATTTGCTCCGGTTCCCTCTTGCAGTCCAAATTTGTGCAGGTTAGGGTCGATTGGCGATGCTAAATTGCCCCGTGGGATGTGCAGGCTAGATGAGTTAGCCTGGGTTACAGGGATAGGGTAGGGTGGGATGTTCTCGGAGCTTCGGTGTGGACCCGATGGGCTGAATGGCTGCTTCCATACTGTAGGGATTCAATGATTCTTAAATGTTGCTATGAGCAGCACCTATCACCTTCTGTGTAAAAAAAAAAAACTGCCTTGCACATCTTCTTTAAACTTTCCCCCTCTCATCTTAAGCCTATGCCCCCTAGCATTGACATTTCCACCCTGGGGAAAGAGTCTGACTATCCACCCTATCCGTGTCCCACGTAATTTTATTTACTTCTATCAGGTCGCCCCTCAACTCCAATGCTCTAGCAAAAACAATTCAAGTTTGTCCAACCTCTCTTTCTTCACTCTAGTCCACACAGCATCCTGGTAAACCTCTTCTGCACCCTCTCCAAAGCGTCCACCTCCTTCCTATGGCGCAGCAACCGGAACTGCATGCTGTAGTCGAATAGCAGAGCAATCTTGGGGGTCTGAATGGCCCGCTCCTGTTCGTTTCATAGGTTCCTACGATATTTTAACCAGTCAATGGCAGACAAGCATGCAAGCTGGTGCAAACACTCAATACAACACACGCATACAACATGCATGTACGTTCGTACAGACACAGAAGCAAATATACACCTTCTGAATCATTTTAGGATTTCATAAGATTAGGTGCATTTTCAGGAAAATTCACTAAATGCATGAGAGATGCAGATATGGTGATAGGGAGTGGATGAGGAGTTCTGTGAGAGAAGGCTTGTATGGAGCAGATGGGCCAAATGGCCTGTTTCTGTGCTGTGAAACTCAAAGTGGGTCTACATTCTGATTGCAGGTTAAGCACTCTGCCCGAATGAATCCCGAACTAACCCGACAGTCTTGGGCGCTCTACTCTCGCTGTTTCGGAAACTGGGGGGTAAAGATCGCTCCTCCATAGCCCCCCTCTTTCCCAGCTAACCCGGTGGGTCTGCCAGCAAATGCTTATTCCCCTCTCCCCAGACCAATGCCTCGAGGCAGTGGGATATTCCTGGGGGGAAACTCACTCTCTCTGCTCCTCTCTCTTCCAGCGGCCTCCCTCAGCGAACTCCGGAACCTCAGAGCATTGGAGGCTCCAAGCATCAGCTTTTCCAACACGGAAGATTTGGAAGCCTTTGGTAAGTTGGCTTTGTGCCCGTGTTTTCCAAATTACAACAGAAGACCAGCAGGGATAGGAGTAGATCCTGGGGAAAATAGCCTTTGCTTGACTGTGTTCCCAAGATCTTCACAGAGAACGGAGTGTGCAAGAGGTCACTGCAAATATGGCATTTGTTGGACACTACCTACGGAGGGTGGGGAGAATTAATGACAGCATCTTCTTTTAAGCAATTAGATATTGATCTTGGGGCAAAAGTGATCAAAGCATATGGGGAATAAAGCAGGAACAGGGGACTGAGTTGGATGATCAACCATGATCCTATTGAATGGAGGAGCAGGCTCGAGGGGCCAAATGACGTACTCCTGCTCCTAATTTCTATATTTCTCTGTTTGCTTGATAGTACAGTATTCACGTTTACAAGAAACAATATGGAATCATGCAAAGGGATTCAATCTCTGCCAGTCAAAAGCAAGGAATATTGCAGCAAGTAACTCACCACCTGACTCCCCAAAGCCAGTCCACCATTGTGAAGGCACAGGTCAGGAGTGTGAGGGAATACTCCCCACTTGCCCTGGATGGCTGCAGCTCCAACGACACTCGAGAAGCTCGATACTATCCAGGACGAAGCAGCTCCCGTTTGATTGGCATCACATCCATTTAAATCCACTCCCTCCACTCCTGACACTCAGTGTCAGCAGTGTGTACCATCTACAAGATGCGCTGCAGAAATTCACCAAAGCTCCTTAGACAGCACCTTCCAAACCCACAATCTCTAATATCTAGAGGGACAAGGCCAGCAGATTCATGGGAAAGCCACCCCCTGCAAATTCCTCTCCGAGCCATTCACCATCCTGACTTGAAAAGATATCACCGTTCCTTCAGTGTCACTGGGTCAAAATCCTGGAACGCCCTCCCTAAGGGCACTGTGTGGATGTCCCTACACTACATGGGTCTGTAGTGGTTCAAGAAGGCAGCTCAGTACCGCCTTCTCAAGGGGCAATAAGGGACCTGCAATAAATGCTAGCTTAGCCAGCAAAGGCCACATTCCATGAATTAATCAGACAAAGTCTTTTGTGCATAACCCGGGGGCCTGGAATTCCCCATTCCTTTCTCCACGGCAACGTCTCGGCCAATCAGAGTCCTTACAAAACCGTCAGCAATCTTTTTTCCTGCGATATAAATTGTTGTGACATCTTGAAATTTGGCATTCTTGTATTTGTCCTGATGGATTGATGCAAATCTTCAGCAACATTAATAACATTCCACTGCAACCGCCGAAGGTGTAACACCTGCCCATTTACCTCTTCCCTCCTCCGTATCCAAGGGCCCAAACATACCTTCCAGGTGAAGCAGCACTTTACCTGCACTTCCGACAATCTACTCTACTGTATTCGCTGCTCACAATGTGGTCTCCTCTACATTGGGGAAACGAAACATAGACTGGGTGACTGCTTTGCAGAACACCTACGAACTGCTGACAAAAAAACGGACCCTAAACTTCCGGTTGCCTGCCACTTTAACACACCACCCTGTTCCCTGGCCAACATCTCTGTCTCAGGCTTGCTGCAGTGCTCCAGCGAAGCTCAACGCAAGCTGGAAGAACGACGTCTCATTTTCCATGTGAGGATCCTGCAGCCCTCCAGACTCAATATCAAGTCCAATAATTTTAGGCCCTGAACTCTCCTATGTCCTAACCCCCAACCCCACACACCAGGCCTTGTTATCACATAGTTTGCCATTACACACTACTTATTGTTAGCCCCTAACACTCTCCATTAACAGCTATTCACTCTCCCAGCCAGATTGTTATCCACTCCTTTGTCTGTCCAACTGTTCTTCTCTTTCTTTGGACTCTATCCCCACCTATCATGTACTCCTTAGCCCCTCCCCCCACCCTATCTTCTGCAAATAAACCGACATATTCCTAGCTACCATCAGTTCTGAGGAAGGGTCACCCGACCCGAAACGTTAACTCTGATTTCTGTTCACAGATGCTGCCAGACCTGCTGATCTTTTCCAGCAACTTCTGTTTATGTTTCTGATTTACGGCATCCGCAGTTCTTTGGGTTTTTACGTGAATAAAATTGTTCAGGAGATGCGTAGGGGAAATGAAATGGCTACACAAGGAGGCAGAAGGTGATTGAAGAGCGTTTGAATGGGAGCAAGGGAATGCGAATCAGTTAAATTCGGGAGGGCAATAAAGGTTTACCGGACTCATTCCTAGGATGGCAGCATTGATGATGAAGAGAGACTGGATCAGTTAGGGCTATATTCACCAGAGTTTGGAAGAACAATGGAGGGAGGGGTTTCATAGAAACTTTTAAAATTCTAACAGCACTAGACAGGTTAGATGCAAAAAGGATTTCCTGACAACTGGAGATTTACAAGGATGTTGCCAGGACTGGTAGATTTGAGTTGTAAGGAGTGGCTGGAAAGGCTGGCAGTTTTACCACCAGAGAGTAGGCAGCTTAGGAGTGACTTTGTAAAGGTTTATAAATTCATGAGGGGCATGGGTAAGGTCAATAGCTGAGGTCTTTTCCTCAGGTTTGGGCAGTTCGTGTCATATTGATGTTGTACAGGATGTTAGTGGGGCCTCGTCTGGAGTATTGTTTGCAGTTCTGGTCGCCTTGATATAGGAAGGATGTTATTAAATTGGAGAGGGTTCAGAAAAGATTTACCAGGAGGTTGCTGGGAATGAAGGGTTATAAGGAGAGGCAGGGTAGGCTGGGACTTTTTTTCACTGGAGCCTAGTATGTTGAGGGGTGACCTGATAGAAGCTTATAAAATTATAAGGGGTATAGATTAGGTGAATGGCAGGTGTCATTTCCCTAAGGTGGGGAAATTTCAAGATAAGAGGAGAAAGATTTAAAAAAAGACATGAGGTGCAATTTCCTTTGCACAGAGGGTGGTTCATGTGTGGAATGAACTTCCAGAGCGAGTGGTGGATGTAGGTACAGTTACAACGTTTAAAAGACACTTGGATAAGTACATGAATAAGAAATGTTGGAGGGATTTGGGCCAAGCGCATGCAGGTGGGACTAGCTTAGTTTGGGATTATGGTTAGTATGGACTGGTTGAACCGAAGGGTCTGTTTTCATGCTGTATGAATCTACTACTCTTGCTGTTTGATTCTCTTACTCTAAGAAGGAATGGTTCTTAAGACTAAATGGTATGGGGGAGAAAGCAGGAACAGAGGACTGAGTTGGATATTCAGATATGATCCTATTGAATGGCAGAGCAGGCTCGAAGGGCTGAATGGCCTACTCCTTTTCCTATTTGCAATGTTACTTTGATAACTATGGAATAACGAATATCGATCTTGAGAGGTTTTGCGCCCAGTTGTGAATCTTCCTCTTTTCTCAGCTCACGTCCTTGGTTCGCTCGTGTTATTGGAAAAGTTCCACCTTTGTAACAATGCCGGGACCATCACTGCTGCACTACCATTAACTCAACAGCTGCAGAACTTGGAACAGCTCAGGGAGCTCATCATCAACAAGATCATGGATGATCAGAGTCTGTTAGAGCTGGGTGAGGCATGCTGCAGGACTGTGAAACTCGAGCTGAATGTTGAGAGAGAGAGAGCTGGTAGTGAGACGTGTGCAACAACAATAGTTTGCACTTATATAGCCATTCATCTGCATCCACAAATTCATGCCAAAAAGAAAATAAGCAGCCAATGATTCAATCCACGGGCAAAACTCACCTATCTGTATTTCACTTACCCAGCAGTTTTACTCTCTGACCTGTTCGGGTACACAGTCATCATATAATCCCCATAGTGTGGAAACGGGGTATTTGGCCCAACAGGTCCACACTGACCCTCTATCAGCATCCCACCCAGCACCATCCCTGTAACCCTGCATTTCCCATGGCTAATACATCTAACCTACACATTCCTGAATACTATGGGACGATTTAGCATGGCCAATCCACCCTAAGCTGCACATCTTTGGACTGTGGGAGGAAGCCTGAGCACCAATAGGAAACCCATACAGACACAGGGGGAATGTGCAAACTCCAGACAGACAGTTGCCTGAGGGTGGAATCGAACCCAGGTCCCTCACGCTGTGAGGCAGCAGCGCTAAGCGCTGAGCCACCGTGCCACCCAGTCCTTCCCCTCAACCTCCACGAGCAAGGGCCTGGGTTCCTTGGGAGCAAGAACAGGTCGAAGGCACCCACCAAATGGAGGTAGAGGAGGAGGATGGCACAGCATCATGGGAGATTGGCTGAGAGGGAGTCCCATCTATGCTGTCCTCCCTTTCCCACACCCAACAACCACCCGTTACCTTCCCCAACAACACCCAACCCTGCTATGCAAAACCTCTCGTCTTTATCGGTAGGCCACAATACACGAGAATTGCTTTTAATATTTAATTCTATTAATATTAACTTTTATTTCAGATATTTTGGTGTTTATTATTGTAGTGATTGTAAGGAGGTCAGCCAGCTGGACCTCATAGAATATGAGTTCCCTGATTGAGGCTGTAAATCTGGTCCAATAAGGGAGCCCTGGCTGACAGATATAAACAGGAGATTCAGAAAGGTTCCTCAGACCAAAAGAAGAGAAAAAATAAACAGGAGATTCAGAGAGCCACCTGATTCGAGGGAATGGCTAAAAAAAAATGAAGAAAAAAATAGGAGATTCAGAAGGGTTCTCAGTCAAAGCAAAAGGATAAGAAGAAAAATGAGAGAAAAAAAATAGCAGATTCAGAGAGTCTCCTGGTTCTAAGGACGGGCTAGAAAAGTAGAACAGGAGATTCAGAAGGGCTCCTCAGTCTAGGGACAGGCTCTGAGCTGACTGGTCAGAATGACCTGTTGATGGGTTACCAGCCTCTGTGCAGTTACTTCAATGGCAGCGAGAGTGGGACAATACACTCCTGAAGGAAATTCGCTCGCAACAGTTGTCTTTGAGTTAGGACAAGCATTTCTGGGGGAAAAAAACTGCGATAAACAGGAGTGTCAGAGGTTCTGTTCGATCTGAGAGCTGGCTCTGAGGAAGCCGGACCAGTGTCATGTACCATACACGTGTAAATAAAGGGTGAAGATACCAGCATCAGAGAAGTTATTTCAATTATTTCAGCCCAAAAAATAATCTTGAGGTCCGGGATCCTAACCCTGTTTTTACCATGAGTTATTAAGCTTCACGCTCACAAATTCATAATCCGTTGGTATTTTTGGGAATGGAACCCTCGGGTGTGTGAAGGAATGGTTATAGCATATCTAACTGAGTGAAGTACTCCGAGACCCAGGATCAAGCAGAATGTGATGCAGAGCTGCGTAGATATAAATATAAGATCAGGTGTCCAAAAAATTGCTCAAGGCAGTTTTAAAGAACATCTTAATGAGAGGAGAGATATTAGGAGAGATTTCCAGAGCGTTGGTACCCAAACAGGGGGTGACATCACGGCTGCTAATGGTGGAGCTTTGGGAATTGGGGGATGTCTGAGATGCCAGGGTTGGAGGAGCACTGAGATCTCAGAAGGTCCAGAACTGGAGAAGATTACAGAGTTGGACGGAGAGAGAGGCCATAGCAGGAACTGAATAAAAGTATGCAGGTTTTAAAACTTGAGACATTCCAGGCCTGGGAGTCAATCCTCTGCAGGTGAAGATGGGGGACGGGGATGAGATATGGTCCATCTTTGTGATTCAAATTAAAATATCACATCCGGGGCTCAGTGTTAGGGGGCTTATTGGCAATCGATTTAAAGTTGATCCTTAACTTATCTCTCACCAGCTAATTTTCTTTCCAAACGATATTGTCCCCCACAGCAAAAGCGGCCAGGAGTGGTCATCTTCGGAAACTGAATGTTCTGGATCTGAGCTTGAACGAGGAGCTCAGTGACCTGGGCTGGAGGGATTTCTTCTTGACCCTGGATAATGTGAGTGAGCTGAGGGAGCTGAATATTTGCCGTCTGTACACCAACCAACTGAAGCCCCAGCCAGACACGTTCAAGGCCTTCGTGCAGTGTGTCTCTCGGCTCCCGGCCTTAGTGACCATCCGCATGCTGAGCTGGATGTTGGATGCCATGGACTTCAACATGTTTAACTCCATGAAGGAGAGCCACCCCCAGTCTCGCCGCCTGCGCCTGTGTTGGCAGTGGACACTCCCATTCTCACCCATCGTCCAGACCGATGAGTAGAAATTGGTCCAGAGTCATTTGGACATTGGTGGTAGAGCACTTCCTTGGTTGAGCATCTGAAACTAGCGATCATAACACCCTTGATAATAAAAGTAACCCTGTAGCACCAACCTGACAAATCTTTCCCAGTTCTGGTATCATTCTAGTTAATTGTTTGCTTTCTTGCTTTTTCCCCTTTGCTTTTTCTGTGGCAGCACCTCGGCCACTCAGGGTTGACTTGCCAACCAAGTACCCTCCTTTTCTTCTGCAGTTGGAACCGTCATGATTGTCTGGAATTTGGGATTCTTACAATTTGTCCTGATGAGTGCAAAACAAAAAGATATTTGGCATTTCTCATTTTCCGCCAATAATTATTGCAATATTTCTAGTGCTTCTCTAACCTTTGTTTTTAACAAGAAGGCAGCCTGAATGGTTCATATTACACTGTGATCTAACCAAGGTTCGATCCAATACGCATTGTCATTTGGTGCCTTTAAGGCAGAGGTAAATAGGTTCTTGATTAGTAAAGGGGAGTTATGGGGAGAAGGCAGGAGAATGCAGTTGAGAAAATATCAGCCATGATCGAATGGCAGAGCAAACTTGATGGGCCAAATGGCCTAATTCTGCTCTAATATCTCACGATCTTTTGTACAAAATGCATGTGTTTGCCTTAGTCTCCTGCATATTAGATGGTCTATAAGAAGTTCAAAACATTTTGATTTTCCTTTGTCACAAAATATATTCATTATGTTCTTATTGGCATCGTGGTGATTTCAAACATTTATCCTGACAAAGCTGCACTGAATTTTCTAATGCATTAAAAATTAAGAAGTGAGATCCAGGAAAGGAAATGTCTGTATATTTCATTCATTCCATCAGAAATGTGTCCAATTCTGATCGCCGTGTTATAGGAAGGATATTATTAAGCTGGAGAGGGTTCAGGAGAGATTTACCAGGATGTTGCCGACTTAGTTATAAGGAGGAGCTGGATTAGCTGGGACTTTTTTCGCTGGAGCGTAGGAGGGTGAGGGATGACCTTTTAGAGGTTTATAAAATCATGACAGGTATAGACAGGTGTCTTTTCCACAGGTGGGGGATTTCAAGACTATTTTTAAGGTGAAAGGAGAAAGATTTAAAAAAGACATGAAGGGCAACTTTTTTTAACACCGAGAATGGTTCGTGTGTGGAATGAACTTCCAGAGGAAGTGATGATTGTGGGTACAGTTACAATGTTGAAAAGACATCTGGATAAGTACATGAAAAGGAAAGATTTAGAGGGATTTGGGCCAGGAGCAGGCAGGTGGGACTAGTTTAGCTTGGGATTATGGTTGGCATGGACTGGTTGGACCAAAGAGTCTGTTTCCTTGCTGCATGACTCTATGACTCTGAGAAGCAATAATAGCAGATGAAATGTGACACAGAGTGATGAAACAGAGGGATCTGGATACCCCTGTGCAAGACACGAAGGGTAACTTTTTTTTTATATACTGAGAGTGGTTCGTGTGTGGAATGAACTTTCAGAGGAAGTGTTGAGAGCGGGTGCAGTTCCAACATTTAAAAGTTGTTTGGATAAATAAATGAATAAAAAAAGGTTTGGAGGAATGTGGGCAACTGCAGGCAGGTGGGACTAATTTAGTTTGGGATTATGGTCAGCATAGACGAGTTGGACCGAAGGGTCTGTTTCCGTGCTGTACGCCTCTAAAGCGGTCTGTCATGGAGGACAAGGTGGAGTGTAGCAGCAAGATATGCTAGCCTGGGCCTAGATGGGTGATGGGTATTAGACAGTAGCTGCAGTCAGGTTACAGAGGTTACATGATAGTGGTACAGAACAGACACACACAACCCACATGTACTGCACCAGCCATAAAACCTCTGTGAAGCAGAGCAGGCAATGTGAAGCTGGCCTTTTTGATCAAGAGGACTTAAATCCGAGGATGTAGGTGTTTCACTTCACCTGAACAGAGCTTTGATTTAAACCAAAACTCCTTTTCTATTCTGAGCACCCCCCCAGGAAGAAGACACAGTTCTCAGTTGTAAAGGGAGTGCAGTGAAGATTCACCGCAGTTAGTCCTGGGGTCCAACGGTGAATGGCAAAGAGAAAGCCCAACAAACCTGCAGAAGCTTAAGGAGGACTTACAGTCACAGAGTCAGACGGCATGGAAACAAACCCTTTGGCCCAACCAGTCCATGCTGACCATAATCCCAACGTTGATCAAAGTTTTCAAGATATTAAAGGGAACGTACAGGGTCATTAGAAACTATTTCTACTGTTTGAGAACTGCAGTAAGGCCACATTTTGAGTACTGCGTACAATTTTGGGTGCCCTGCTATAGGAAGGATTATTGAAATCGGAAAGTGTGCAGAAAAGATTTGCAAGGATGATGTGGAGACTGGAAGGATTGACTTTAAGAAGAGGTTAGATAGGCTGGGACTTTGTTCCCTGGAGTTCCAGAGGCTGAAGGCTGACCTTATAGAAGTTTATAAAATCACTATGAGGTGAATAGCCAAGGTCTTTTCCAGAGTCCAGAACTAGAGGGCATAGGTTTAAGATGAGAGGGGAAAGATTTAAAAGGGACCTGAGGAGCAATCTTTTCGCGCAGAGGATGGTGCATGTAAGGAATGAGCTGCCAGAGGAAGTGGTGGAGGCTGGTACAATTACAACATTTAAAAGACATTTGAACAGGTACATGAATAGAGAAAGGATATGGGCCAGATGCAGCAAATGGGACTAGTTCGGTTTAGAAAATCTGGTCAGCATGGACAAGTTGGGCCGAAGGGTCTGTTTCCATGTGTTGTAACTCTAGGACTTTTAAGTCTAGGATTGAGGGGTTTGGTTTAAATGTTAGCACAAGGTTTTCAAAGGTGAATTCCAGAAAGCTCAAAGGGTGAGGGAGTTAGAAATTTGGAAGTCTTCCAAAAATGCCATTTGATGCTGAGCTCAGTTATGATTGTTAAACGTGAGGTGGGTAGAATTTTGTCAAAGATATTAAGGGACATCAGACGAAGATGGGTAGGATGGAGTTACGCCGTAGATCTGGAATATGCTGCTTATCGGCGAACTGCAGTGAAAGGAAGGGGATTGGGGACAAGCTGAGCCGCTCTTGGAGAGGGCCACTGAGGACACAACGGGTAAAACAGCCTCTACCTGCCACTCTGTGATTCTCCGATGCTGAGTTTTCAGCGCGTTGTTTCCTAGTAGCTGTGAAGATTTCTGTCAGAGGCAAACAGCGAACCCTGGTGGGGGGTTGTTGGGGGAGAACATCTGGTTCCTCACGTAGTGTGGTGTCAATCAGAAAAATCCACCGGACATACTATATCAACAACCTGCATTTTTATAGCGCCGTCAGTCAACATCCTGAGGTGCTACAGCGGAAAGCTAGGAAACAAAACTTGCCATTAACCCCATCTGATGTAACCGACAGCTTGGATATGCTTTAAGCGGTGTCTCAAAGGAAGATGGGTAGGGGCAATTGGAAAGGTTGAAGGAGGCAATATTCCAGAGCCTATGATGTCCTTGAACTCCTGTGCGCTGTGACAACAGCATGGCTTTAAGAGTCACAGAGTCATACAGCATGGAAACTGACCCTTCAGTCCAACTTGTCCATGCTGACCAGATATGTAAAATTAACCTAATCCCATTTTCCAGCATTTGGCCCAAATCCCTCTAAACCCTTCCTATTCATGTACCTATCCAGATGCCTTTTAAATATTGTGATTGTACCAGCCTACACCATCACCTCTGGCATCTCATTCCATACACGCACCACCCTCTGTGTGAAAAAGTTGCCTCTCAGGTCACTTTTAAATCTTTCCTGTCTCCCTTTAAACTTATGCCCTCTAGTTTTAGTCTCTCCTTTCCTGACCTTGGCTATTCACCCTTTTCATGTCCCTCATGATTTCATAAACCTCTGTAAGGTCACCCCTCAGCCTCCAAATGCTCCAGGGAAAATAGCCCCAACCTATTGAGCCTCTCCCAATAGCTCAAACTATCTAACCCTGGCAACATCCTTGTTAATCTTTTCTGAACCCTTTAAAATTTAACAACACCTTTCCTACAGCGGGCAGACTAGAACCGAATGCACAATTCCAAAAGTGGTCTAACCAAAGTCCTGTAGAGCCGGAACATGACCTCCCAACTCCTATACTCAATGCACTGACTAATAAAGGCAAGCGTACCAAATGCCTTCTTCACTATCCTGTCTACCTGTGATTCCACTTTCAAAGAAACATGGACCTGCACCCCAAGGTCTCTTTGTTTGGCAACCCTCCCCAGGACCCTACCATTAAGTGCATAAGTCCTGTTCTGGTTTGTCTTACTGAACTGCAACACCTCACATTTATCTCAATTAAACTCCATTTGCTAATCCTTGGCCCATCGGTGTGTGCTTCGTGGTGGTTTCTTTTAGAGAGAGATTACTGGTCAGGTGCCGAGTAGTCTATGAGACGATAAAGAACTTTGTGAAGCCTTGGGTGTTTTTGTTAAAAGTTGTAACAATGGAAGCAGCTTGAATGGGTCTGGTCAAGCTGCTACAGAACTAGGGATCTCAGACTCCAGCATCGGCAGTTCCTACTATCACAGAACTCGGGATGTTAAGTTTAGCTTTCAGCAGTTGCTGTTGGGGTCTCAAATAAGTGGAAGCAATTTTTTTCCCCTTTCTCGGTTACAACCAAAAGCTGGGGACTGCCTTTGGGAGTTGCATGTGATACAATCTGTGTCTGAACTTGTGTTTTGCCAAGGGTGTGTTTATGGGATGTTACTATATTGGAACAGTTAATTTGTGATAGTTCCTTATTCCGTTAAGTTTTCCAATAGAGTTGTTATTCCAATTCCTTCTTTCTTTTGTTGTATTTTAACTATAGTGGATGAATAAAGTGTGTTCTGCTTTAAATCTAATAGTTTGACCATTCAAATTGCATCTGGAATGCAACACCTTACCTTTGAAATACGAAAAAGTTACGGGCCCAGACTATCTTCTGAATATGCTGAGGGGTTTTGGTCTAGTCTATAACAGCACTAGACCTGATTCAGTTGGGAACCACTCTTGAGTTAGCCTGGCCACATTGTTGACTGAAGCATCAATTACGTTAGTCGAGGAAGGGCATTCTTCAAAGTATCCTTTCAATTCAGAACTGATT